CCTCCCAGGTGTAGGCCCGGCAGCTCCATCCGTTTTGCTTTCGTCCCAAGGATTACCTTCGAAGACGGAGGATGCGAAACACGCCCCCCACGCTCGGAATCGCGAGCCTCCGGAATTCATAACAGACGTTCCTCCCCAGGTGAGCAAGTCAGGGAGCCCTTGAAAAGAAAGGATTTTTTTTTCTGTTCGAGAAGCATGATGGGAGTTGTAGTCTCGCTGGCGGTCGTTTGGTCTGGCTGCTCGAAGAGAGCGGGCTTCAAAAGACTACGCATGCCGGAGATTCCCGTGTGCCTTTGGGGAGGGGGAGATCAGATTTGGGATGCTTGTTGCTTGTTCGAAGGGAGCGGGGGGAAAGACATGTTTTGCCTATGTAATGGATGGAGTTGGGTGCGGAGCGATTTTAAGTGGGGTTGGGTCCCTATAATAACGGCGCAGAGAAGTCCCTCTTTAATTATTTTTGGGTGGGGGGAGTCAGTTGCTAGGCCTGGTCATTTGGGATTTCCTCCTCCAGTCTGGCGTCCTATAGATCTGTGGGACTCCAGCTGCCTCCATTCTCAGCTAGCAGGACAGTTTACTGAGGGCGATGGGCTGCCAGGGAGGCTCCTCTGTTGCAGGATGGGGGAATCATAGATATCTGGATAAAAATGATACAGTGATAGTAAGGAGATGGAAAATTAATGAGCAGTATTGCAATGGCTGCAAAATCAAAAGCGATAGTGGGGACAAGAGGGGTTACATACCCATCATGCTACTCACTTTCATGGTAAACAAGGTTATATGAAACAAACAAATAAATAAATGGAATAAAAATAGTGAGCAAAAGAAATTAAAGGCATGAGCTAAGAAACCAAAATCTCTTTTTCACCAATACTGTTCACCATCTTGTTCCAAATTTTTCTGTCTTTGCAGTCATCCTTGATTTCACCTCAAGGTCGCTAGGAGTCAAAAATGACTTGATGGCACATAATCAATCAATCAATCAATTTTACTATGTCTGTATAACTTCATACATTGCTTTTTGTTCTTTAAACTTATCTCTTTTTTGAGGATGTTATGAACTTCATCCATCTATGACTTTCTCAGTCTTTTCCTTCCCTTGACTTATTCACTCTTAATGCAAATTTTACAATTTGGTCTTTTCTTCAATATATTTCTTTCATGCTTGCTTGCTCACTTTTGCGTCCATTCATTATTGACCCTATCTTTTATTGTTTTACCACATCTTAAATATTCTATTCTCACTGCATTCAACTTTCTTTTATGTTTCTCCTGACATACCCAACTCTCACTTCCATGTAACAAAGTGGGCAGAAGTGCTTTCTTGCCTCTTTCAACAAACACACAACAAATCACCAGCATTTTACTTGTTCTAGTTTTTTGCCTTGTATCTATAACATGCAGTTATTAATCCCTTTTTTCATAAGTCACAATTATGTTGGTCTTTAGTACATTAATTTTCAAATCCATACTCAGTGCAGTAAACGTTTGTTGCAAATCATTTGGGTTCTCAGCCAACGACATGATAATGTCTGCACACCAAAATACATGCATATTCAACTCCCTAATCAAAATACCTTTAAACATCACCACAAACTTTCCTTCTATATCTGACCATAAATATCTTGAATAATCAAGGATACCATCACATATTCTTATCTATTTATTCTATTTTTTAACACATGTGCTTGACCTCTATCATATAGTGTTACTGTTGCATTCAGCATTCAACCTTCAATTCCCTATTTCCATAAAACCTTTCATAATTCAAACCTATTTACTTTGTTATATCTAAATCAACAAACATATAATACATTTTACATAATACATTTTAGTAAAATAAAGAAGGTGTAGACTATCAGCTTTAGTCATACTCTTGCCCATTCAGCAGCAATCCCTGTTAAAACTAAGGAAAGAACCGGTTATTTTTGGCACATTCTGATCAGTATGCCACAAGTGCAGCCCATCCCAGTTTTACCCCAAGTGGGCTCATGTATTCTGTGTAAGCTAGGATCTGGAGACAGTCTTGAAAGCTAACATGCTGTTGCTCTTATCCTGGTATAGTCAGAATATCATAATGAATGTGGCTTGAATACGAAACAGAGTGACTAGCATTAAAGAAATATATTGAAGTATATATATGTATATATCTAATGAATGCATGAAGTTTTAACTGCAAAACAAATACATGAAGAATAGAGGAAAGGCGAGAAAATTGTGGTTAGAGGGAATTAATGAGCTTCGCAAAAAGAGTTGAGAAAAGCAATGTATAAAATGGTGAACAGATGTGGTGGAGTGGATGCAAAGATGGTTTGCAATGGGAGAAAGATAGGGTGAGGTATAGTGAATGGTATTGTTATAAACTATATTTAGCTAGAATTCTTTCATTTTTCTTATCTCATGCCTTTAATTTCTTTGACTTATTTTTTACTCCATTTCTATGCTTATATTATGATTTATCCCAAAGAGGAATCCCCCAATGGGTGTATATATATATATACGTACAATAAAATTTCTTTCTCGGATATAATTTGCTAAATGTCATGTGACAGAGGATATTGCACCCAGACATACTCTTTAGGTGTGTTGATAGAGATCATTGTCCGTGTCTCAATTTCCCACCCTGTTTAAAACAAAACAAAAATCAATGTTTTATAAAAAAAAATGTATTTTAAAATTATTATTTCTCAGATGTCATCTTAAAGGGCTTGACAGTTAATAACCTAATTATGTATGTGGTAATTCACTTTGTATTGTTTTCCCTCTAACATGTATTTAATGTAAATGTTTAGAAGATCTCTAGATCCATGTCAGGTTTAGGATTTTGTAATCAAAAGAATGAAAATAATAGCAATCCTTCTAGGAATGTATCTTTTCAAAGTTCTTTTGTACCTTTCAATGATACATGTTCTCACATAGATGAGGTCAATAATGATTTATATATGTGAATCAGCCACCATTAATTTAACTATTCTATGCAATATCTGGATATAGAGTTTTTCCTTGATGATAACAGTAGGAATTTGTGTATGCATTACTTGATAAGATATGTAGGCTTGAATTTTAATGCGAACAGTTGCTAGCATGAGATTATTTTTTGATAATAGTATTGTAGAATTGGCTTTAATATCATTTTTTTAACCCTAGGGTATGAAGCCCATGGATAGTAATAGAGATGGATGAATGAGACAAATCTACAGTGACAATCCTGCACACTCAAGTAATAAATTCACATTTCCTATATTTCAAGGTGTTCTCCTATCATAAGCCATCTGAGAAGTACTATCTGACAGGATTATCCTAAAATGCACAAAATGTAAATTTTTTGCTTGAGGAAGCAAAGATTCTCACGCTGAACCATCCATAAAGTATGTTCTTTTCTTAGAGCTTCCTCTCCAAATTACTTTGCCACAATTTACACAATTTTAGTCTATCCCTTGATACAACTTTGCAGTTTTTTCCATGCTATCATTCCGACAGTCCATTCCCTTGATAGACAGTTCCCTTCCTCATAAAAATGACCAGCCCCAAGGTGACACCAGCCAATTGGACAGTGGATGGGTTGGAGCTTGTATGCGTCATCAGGATATTGATGCATTATTACTTTAAGAAAGAATATGTAAAATCAGCATGTCTTGAGGAAAATGGTTATTTTTCATTTCTTAAAAAACAGGTAATGTATGGCAATTATGATTGAGAGGAAAACCCAGAAAATACTGCAAGCAGTGTTTACTCAGCATTTGGAAAGCAAGATCCATAATCTATTAGCATGTACTTTTTTGTCCATAGAGGAAAAAGTAATGGAAAACTAAGGAAAATGAACTGGTCAAGTAGGCTGTATAATATCTTCATTAGCATGTGTATTTGTGCTTGTAGTAGAAGATTTGATAATGGAAACTGTACGAGTAGAACCTGGAATGACATAATGTACATGGTACAATGATTTTGAAAGTTTTAAAATCTAAGAGACTTGAGAGGATGGTGCAAAGAAGGAAATTCTTTTCCAGCTTAGATTAGTAGTGCCTTGTTTACAATCCAGGAGACACCAGTTTCTTTTTAACTTGGTTAAAGGTGATCTTCATTTATTTCACGAACAATGAAGGTTGGTAAGTTTTGTTACATTTGGGTGATTTAATACTGTTTTTTTTTTAAATCGGATTGGATTAGCAGCTTTTTATACATTCAGGTAAAACAATTCTCATATCCATGATCCATCAATGAGGGCTCCCCCCCCATGTGCTAGTTTTCTTTTTTTCTTTTGAAATGTAAAATTCTAAATAGCTTGGGATCTGGTTATGAAGGGCCATTTCTTAACGTACGGTCTTGCTGTTTCACTAAAGTTATCATAGGAGTTTTGGATTTGTATCCCACAACTTAATTTTTATCTGAAGTTTATGTGAACTTTCTCTTTTGTGGTGCCCAGTGCTGTGGTGTCCTAAAACAAAATTTGACAGTATTCATTTTCTCATCCTGCGTCCTAACAGTATTCCAGATAATATTTATATATCCTTTTGATGTTGTAATCTGGTTTGGTACCTAAATATTTAGAGAAAATGGTGAGATAATTTTTTTCCAAATAAACTCTTAAATGGTAAATAATAAGATTATAAAAGCAATAATATTACATTCATGTAAACTTTTGAAAGCCACTGGTAAGATGACATTCTAGGTGGCAAAAAACTTCATTGATGCATTTTCTATTTTAGAGGTCCTTAGGCTTGTACTCTGAGTTGGTACCCAGATTGTGGTGGCACTATACAGCTGCAACTACCTGTTGTGCCAGTTTGGAAACTTCACAGTACCTCTCAGCTGATGTAGCAGACCCTCTTGCCCTAGAGCAGAGGCAGGCAACCTGAGCTTCAGGTCTAGGTACACCACAACACCTTCCTATTCATATGGCTCTTTTAAATAATGTTTTTAATAATTCGTAAACTGTCCAGAGTCACTGGGAGTCAGGCGGCATATAAATTTAATAAATCATAATAATACTACTACTACTAATTATTATTATGCTTTGAATCTTGAACATGTATGTGCTGTAATTGTACAAAATGCTCAACAAATCATTAATTTGCTCAGTAAACCAGTCATCAGAATCATGCTTTGTTCTGCCAGTTCCTTAGTTGCTTTCTCTATTATTTCTGCTGGTACCCAGAAAAACATGGGCACAGCATGAAAATAGACCAGGAATAAGCCAGGATTCTGGTTCAGTAAGCTATAACAAGCCTTGATTATAAATTGAGAGCAAACCATGTTTTCATATTGTTGCAAGAATAAATCAAGGCTTAAATTTTGGAATGGGTTTGCTTATCATGGAAGGCTATAATATGCACAACCCACTGTAAAGTAATTTTATCAGGAAACTCAGTCATACACTGTGGGTCAGTTATTAAGGAAGTCCCAAACCAGGGTTCCTGGTTTAGGTCTCAGAGCCCCTAACAGGCCCTTCCCTTTTATGGAACTCATTGAAAAAGTAGGTGCTAATTGGGGGCTTAATTGTTTGTAATATAAGAAATAGAAGCAGATGGGAACCAGTGGCAGGGATAATGCCTCTTTACTGATAACATTTTCAGAGCGACTTTTTATTGCAATGTATGATTTGTCAAGTCTTTAGTCTAAGCTAAACTTCAGTGCCAGTTTTAGTACCAACTTGGAATATACATGTAATTTATCCACCAGTAAACTGAGAACTGTCTACTTTTGAGTTCTGTTACACCAGTTTGAAAAAATATAATGACTACTAGAAGTAAACCTAAAATGAGGGGAAATATTAGCAAGGACTGGATCAAGGTAGCCATTGTGCAAGCAGATAGAGAATGAATAGATGGTTTGCTTCCCATGGTTTGAAATTTCAGGGAAGTACGTTTTGAGGCTCCAAGGGTGCATGTGCTGCCCTCCCGGGCTTTGGAGGGGCTCTAGGGGATAAACCCCAAATCACCAAATTGCAACATTCATTGTCACAGGAAGGAAACTTAGAAAATGTATAGAACAGAATCATACTGTCTGCATTTTATTGGGTCTATGGTGATACATGATGCCTAGAATATAATTTTGGTTTTATGATGTTACAATTTTGTAAATTGATTTATTTATTTGCTGTAGTTGCTTTATTTTTATGTATTTATTACTGTAACCCCCAGAGAGTCTTGGCAGTAAATAAATAAACGAATAATCCATCCAATCCAATTTAATTTTGTTTTAGCACTGTTTGTTGAAGGGCAGCCCTGACACACTCCTCAAAGGCTAACTGGGGTCCACAGCCTGAGAAGACTTGTACACCTGTGGTTTAGAGCATTTCTTTATGTGGATGATATTCTTTCTGAGATGGAGAATCAATTTTTTGAGTTTGGAATGTGTTGAATGGTGGTTCTTGAACAATACAAATCTTTAAGGACATGTTTCCTGTTGTATCATATAAGTTGTAATGTTGAATTGTGTCTGCCATATACCAACTATAGCTGGATGACATCAGTTTTTCCTCTGTCACGCACTGAGAAATTATCTATACGGATTTGCTGTATCTCAAGTGAATTAATTTGTTTGGATAATGTTCTGAACAGATGCCAGCTACAAGCAATTAATAGTTCTCTATATTCAAATGAAACAGCTTTGTTTGCAATATTATGTAGCTCATGTTTTGAGACATACTTTTGAAAACTGAAGCATATACAAACAAAATAGGGTGAAGTTGTTGGCTTTGCGGGTTGTGAGGGTTTTGGTTTTTTTTTTTAACATCTAGGATTAAAGGAGACTGAAGATTATTTTCATTGAAGAATTAAGTTTTGGACGGAAGCTGTTAGTCTTTGTCATTCAGCATCCTCTTATGTATGAATGCTACAGCTGCATTTCCTGGTGATGTAATATATTGTTTATACATTTAGGTCTTTATTCATATATTTTATTTATAAACAGTATCTGTCCCCCACCAGAAATTGTGTTGCTACTGTTTAGCATTTTCATGAAAAAAATTGCAAGGTAGTTACATAGAAATGTTAATATTATACAATTAATATAAAAATATAAAAAAGTAAAACTAACAATGAATGAAAAGAGATGGGGAATCAGAGAGCCAGAACTCACTGTAGCTATTTGTCAAGTATATTTTTAGTTATACACCCAGGATTTTCCTGTAATGGGCTGAAAAGCCCATTTTGTAGGGATGTATTGTGTGCATTGCAATTTGGGAGAGGGGAGGTGAAAAAGTGCAATATATAGCGCTAAGTACTTGGCTGTCATTTTTTCTTCAGAAAATCAGGTTTCTACTGTTCTGAATATACAGTAATAGTAGCAAACACGTGGGCAGTTCTTGCTGAAATTTCAAAAGCCAAAACAATGACTGCATAGCTTCTCTAAAAAAATGATTGCTAGGTTTCATAACTAGTATAACAAACAACAATAAAATGCACTTTAATAAAAATTGCAGTTATGGTCCTAAGTGAATGAGGATTTTTTGTCTCAGAGAGTAATTTAATTTTTATTGTTTCATGTTGTATTACAGGTTTCTCAAAGAAGATGAATTTGGCTGAGATTTGTGATAATGCTAAAAAAGGAAGAGAATATGCACTTCTGGGAAATTATGACTCTTCCATGGTTTATTACCAGGGTGTCATCCAGCAAATTCAGCGGCATTGTCAGTCGATCAGAGACCCAACGTTAAAGGGCAAATGGCAGCAGGTATAATAAAAAGGGATTTGAGTGCTAATGCTTAAAGAAAAGAATCACTGCTAATGGTGTTTCTCATGTAGCAGAACAACAATATGAAAACAGAACTCATTGAAAGACAATATAACCCTGTATAGTGGTAACAAACTAAGAGTAGAACATGTCACTTCTGTTATTAAATGTCCTTGACCATCAGTCAAATTAAAATCTTTCTTAACAGAAAAAATAGATTATTTTTCCTTATCTAAACTGGCTAGATTTGCCTTGCTTAACAAGAGACCCCTCTGACAGGAGGTGCTACTTGGAATATACAGTTCCCTAAATATTACATAAACTGTAGAGGACATTTGCAGAAGGTGCCCTTTCAGCTGTTCTACATCCAAAATTAGAAAGCAGGATTTCATTTAGCAATGATGTAGATTTGGACCTTTTCCACAGTGATGCCTGCCCTGTGCAGAATGACATCTTTATGATGTGCCAGGATCCAACGTCAATTTGTTCTAGGTACTTTTATCTGTTTGTGTTGGTTTTTCTCCAGCTTCTGTTTCTCACAAATAATGTTGATCATTTTATTTAATTGTTTTATTTTATAGCATTATTTTATAGTATTGTTGTTGATCTCTTCAAGAATTATGCAAATTATAGAAATGTAGGGTTGGGAGGACTCATTTATTTATTCCATATGGGTGCTGCCAAATCTGCTGTGGACATCCAGCAGTTAATAATCATAAATCAATAATTAAAGCTTCCATGGTAAATATTAATAATAAAAGCAATTAATGCATCTACAATAAACATCATAACTGGTAACCAATAAAAATCGACATCATAATGAAATAATAATG